GGTTCCACTGTGACCAACTCCCAGCTTTATATCATTATATCATATCTGCCCAGGGAGGTGGTGGAATCCCCTTCCCTGGAGGTGTTCAAGGAACGTTTGGATGTTGTGTTGAGGGATATGGTTTAGCGAGAACCATTGGTGATGGGTGGATGGTTGGACTGGATGATCTTATAGGTCTTTTCCAACCTTAGTGATTCTGTGATTAGGAAACTTGCTGAGGTGGGATTCTATCCCTTCATCCAGATCAGTGATTAAAATCCAACCCCTGGGTAACATCACTAGTTACAGGCCTCTGACTGTACTCTGTGCTGCTTATGTCTGTGCTGCTGAGTTAGTTTGCATCTATCTCATCTAGCCTGCATTTACCAAGCTTCATTACAAGGATGCTGTGGGCAACAGTGTCAGAAGCCTTGCTGAAGTCAAGGTGCACAACATCCACTGTTCTCCCCCATCTACCCAGTCAGTGATGACATCACAGAAGTCTACCAGGTTGGTAGGGCATGATTTTCCCTTGGTGCGTCCATGTTGACTACTAATAATCTTCTTTCCTTCAAATTGCTTGAAGATGGCATCTAGAACAAGACACTCTGAAACGATTTGTGCTACATTTATGCATTTGCCTTAGGGATGAACTCAACAAGCCCTATCTACACTTTTCAGCATAAGGCAAATAAATACTAACGATGCAAGTAAGCAAACAAATAAGATTTCCCTGATGAGCTGCGTCATCCAGGTGACTTTGTTCCCATCAGCCACGTTCCTGACTGAGCTGGGTAAAGATTCCTGATATCAGCTCTGTTCTCTTCTTAACCCAAGTATCAGACTGCTCAGTGGATCTTGATGCCCAAATGCATGGGCAGTTTAGGATAAATCATCTTACACGTGTTTAGCTGTGCTCACATGGAAGCCAACAGAAGGCTTGGGAAACTAAATTCATTTTCCAGTTAGGTATTTTAATCTGCTATTATTATTTATTAACCCATTTGTCAGATGATAGAATCAACTTTTGATAAATATTAATTCTTCTTCCTGGCTTTAAATCTCAACTTTAAAAACCAGAGCCATCTACCAATATTTCACTGAATAGAGATCTCCCTCACCTGTCATCCATTTATTTCCCCCATCCCTTACTAACTTGCTTTTCACAACCTCCTCTTGATAATCAAAAGAGCATTTATAATGGCAGGGACAAATACACTTCTGAAAGTAAAATGAAGAGCCTAAATAAAAAATCACAGAACAAGAGGCTCATCCCACTCACTCTTTCATATTTCATTATTTGATAACATCAGAAGATGAGTCCATCAGAGCTGCTTGGGCAAAGGCAAACAGGAGTGTGTCTGATCAATATTTATTAATACTTTCAAAGACAAGGGAGGCAAAGTTGAGCAGACTTCGTAATGGAGTGAATAATTACTCATGCAAATAAGGTTTGGCCAAAGGCAATGCCATGCCAAAGCGGCAGTTTTTTAATTGCTCCCAATTAAAAATGCATACCTTTTGCTCACTCGTACTGTCTCGCTTGCTCTTTTTTTTTTTTTTTTTTTTTTTCATTTTGCAGGAAATTTTTAATTAAAAAATAATCTGATCCTGAACAGAGTGACAGATGAGTCCTGTGTTTATTAGGTATAGAATTCATCTGCAGTAACCCAGGATTTGGGACAGGCTAAGAAGAAAAGCAGTTGTAAGGACACAGAGTAAAGACAGGGTTTGCATTGACTAATGGTGCTGCAGACAGAGCAGCTTTAGCATCTCAGGAGAGGCTATAAATGGTATTGGTCACCCAGATACCCACTGACACCTTGACCAGTCATAGAATCATAGAATCAATAAGGTTGGAAAAGACCTCTAAGATTATCTAGTCTAACTGTCCACCTACCACCAATATGGCCCACTAAACCATGTCCCTCAGTGCCACATCTCTACATTTCTTGAACACCTCCGAGGATGATGACTCCACCCCCTCCCTGGACAGCTGTTCCATTGCCTCACCATTCTTTCGGAGAAGTTTTTCCTAACATCCAACCTGAACCTCCCCTGCCCTTCACCATCACAGAGCCAGGCTGAAGAACCAGGGGATGCTCTGAAGCATTCTGAAGGACTTATCTTGCAGGAACTGAAAACTGTTTTAGCACATGAGAGCAAAACTGGTAGCACAGCTCCAGCCTCCAGTTTTTTCTCTGTATAATTGCATTCTTGTTGGACATTCTCAGAGTTTAAAATTTGCCTGATGGGGAAATAATATTCCAGGTGCGACAGTTCATGTGTCTCTGAGAATATGGCTACGGGAAGGTAGAAGTAAGAGGGATGTCTTATTCTTATAGGTTCTTCTTTTAGGAAGACCAAGAGTTCCATGCTTTAAGCAGAGCCTTCCATCTCAGAGAGATTGCCCCAGCCAACATTCGCTCTCTGGTGTTTTTCCCAAAATCCCACCAGAACTGGCAAAAGCAAAATTTCATTTCACATCTGTTCAGCTTAAAATATCTGAAGGTGATCAGTGTTTCCTAAATCTCACTGTTTACTTTGGCAGCTGTACTGTTTTTTTTTTTTTTTCCCTATACTTTGTGTATATAACTGTACTTGTGATATTGCCAATACCCTCAGAGTTAACCTAAGAGTAGATTTCTCCCTATGTATTGAAATAGCTTTATAAATAGCTTAATCTTTTTAACACATTGAGGCTCACAGCAGCTTCTGGGCACTCTGCTTCACTGAGTGAGCACACCAGAATGCCAGAATGATGCTGTAGAGCCCGCTAGTAGCTACTGCTGCTCGAATTTGGAGTCTTTGGCCTTTCTACAGCATCCCAGATAAATCTATTTAACTATGCTTCATCTGTTCCAGTGACTGGAGGTGAGGATTGGTTTTGTCTCCTGCCTTCTGAATCCAGAATTAAGAAGTGCAGTCCCAGAGTTTAGTGGCTTTTGTTATTGTTCTGTCAAGAGATAAAATTTGATGCCATGGCTTTCCAAGGGACGAAACCAGCCTTGCAGAATGCTTCTTACCTGAACTACCTGAACCAGGTATTTTCAGTCATTCTCTGAAGCACTGGCCTCGTTAGCCATTATCAGCATCACAAGAGCTGATGAGTCTGTAACTTGTAGGGATTACCCAAATGCCATCTGCAAATAGCAGCTGATAGAAGGATGTTCAAGGTATCTCCCGTCCTTACATATCCACCTGCCTTTAGAGATGTACAGTCTGGAATCCTTCTCTCAAGTTAGGGGGATTTGAGGAATCCCTTTGACCAAAATTGCTGCTGACCAGCACTTACTGATGCTATTCTTAAGCAGCTTGCATGGTTCCCCTTTCTTTTCCAAGAGAAATCAAAGAATGTCTTATACAGAATCACAGAATATCTTGTGTTCTCAAGAATCAAAAGTTAACCTGCCCAATTTTCCCTTGCTTCTAAGGAGAGCCATGTGTCCTTGTATCAGAGCACAGCTCAGTGTCCCCTGTAGCTGTTGGTGATGCTGGAAAACTCATCCTCCTTCAGTTTCAGGATTTTGTACTCTGTATCTCATTTGTGTGGAGCCTAAGTGCTTGATTCATTTTTCAGATTATTGTTTATCGCCAGAAGCTGTTTTTTTATTTGCTTCTTGTGCTTTCTGTGTGTACTTCCACTTGCACAAGCACACTTCCTTCTTCTCTGATCACAGAACACAAATCCTATCAGTCCTTGTTCTTGGAATTGGTGGTTTTGAAGTCCCTTTCCTCTAGGTGCAAGCCCTTCATCCCACCTGGTCTATGATAGCAGTGATGTTGCTGCAGACTTCCAGGCACAGGAGCAAAGTCTCATCTCACAGCAGCAGGCAATGTCTAGAAGGAGACAGAGGGGATGAAAATACAGAGCTCTGAAGCCCAGGAGCCTTGGCCACACAACCAGGCACGAAGCTGCAAACACAGGGTTTTGTTACAGCCAGTTCCAGTCATTGCTGCAGTGATTTGCAGTCTGCTGGCAAGCTGCATGCTCTGCAAAAGCACAGCTAAACCAGACCTGAGAGCCTGCAAAGTAAAGAACGAGGAATTTAATATGCATTTTTGCCATGTTTGCCCCGATTATTTTAATGCAGTCAAAGAGCAGAGAGAGGGAACGAGGTGATAACTTTTCCTGGAGCCCTTTCTCTTGGGTTTTAAATAATTGATCCTACCAAGTCATAAGGATTAGACTGCAGCCTTCTCCTGCAGAAGCACAGGGGAGTCATGCAAGTGCTGGAAGTTACAGTGTTTGGTTGAAACAATCCTTGCTGCAACATGATGCAAGAAAGGGATATTTTTACTTCTTCCCTAAGCTTTTCAGATCCTTATTTCTTTATAGGGGTCTGTTACATCTGTGCAAGTTATACAGTTTACCAGTTCCTCTAGAAAAAGGAGTACTACCTATCCATGCACCACTTCTTTTTTTTTTCTTGTTTTGATACCCCAAACAGACCAAAACCCACAGCTGAGATTCACTGCTCCCTGGATCTTACTACTGTGGAGTCATAAAGGAGAACCTTCCCCTTATTCCTGAGTTTGAAGGGTCTGCCCAGGTTTGGGACCCCCTCTGCCTAAAGGAGCTTTGTAAAGCATTATGTTTGCATGGCTTCCCCTGGACAGGATGCTTTTTATTGGTATTATCTAGACCACAGACCTGCAAGAGATCTTTCACCTTGGTACAGATGGGGAAACTAAGACACAGAGCATGGATGTGTGGCATCTTAGCTGAAGGTAACAACTAGCAAAGAAGATCCCTCATTCCCCCTAATTTGTGTTTTGTGTATGGAAGAGAGTTAGGAGCAGGGAGAGTAGGAGGTTTGCTCCCATGTACTTCTGCACTTTGTATTAACTTTGTGTTAAATAGGAATGCCTTTGTGTTCTGCTTGTCCAGCACCTGATGCAACCTTCTCAGCTCATGGCAGTGCTGAATAAAAAATAATCACTGATGATATCCTATAGAATTAAAGGTCTGGAGCATCAAATACCAATACTCACCAGATGGTTGTTTGCTTGCTTTCCAGGCAGTACTATGAGATGCTCTACAACACAGCAGATGAGCTCTTAAACCTGGTAGTGGATCAAGGTGTGAAGTACACAGAGCTGGAATACATCTATGCCCTGAACTTACTGCACCGGAGCCAGACGGGTGTGGGAGACCAAACCACACAGAACATGAGGTTGCAGAGGCTGAAGGAGATCATTTGTGAGCAGGCTGCTATCAAACAGGCCACCAAGGACAAGAAAATCACTACTGTTTAATCTGCTCAACCACAGTGAGCAGCAGGGGCTGTCAGGTTGCAAGTTCAGATTTCTATGTTTCTGTTATAATTTATGGCAAAAGAATGTATCTTCTGAGTGACTGCTAGCGAGAAAGGAAATGCAATTTAAAATTTGGTTTTGGGGTTTTCTTCAGTAGGGGTTAATGTGTAATCATGTAATGCTTCCTTAATGTGTTCTTCCAGTAGTGGTTGCACTGCAGGAGGAACAGGCATTCTGGTGGAGATTTAGGTGGGGTGTTTGGCTTTGCTCTGTCGCTGCTGCTTTGCATTGGGATATAAGGCAGGATGGAAAAAGAGATTTCACACTGGCTGAGGCCAGAGCTGTCAGTGAAAGTTCAGACCACACTGAAGTAAAAAGCACCATGACATTATTTGTTGGTAACATGTGGGATCGTGATGATTTTGAAGCTGTTCCAACAGCGTTGCTGCATGGGAAGCCTGTTTCAGCTCTGCCAGTACTTTTTGCAGTGACAGTCATAGATGCATCTAGTTTTCTGCTGTTTCCACTGCAAAGAGATCTAGTTGCTTATTCCTCCAGATAGTAATAAGCCAATTCTCGTAATGGGAGGTAACGTGGGACCATTTGTTTCCACTTCTACTTTTTCATTATCACAGAGCCATATGGCATCAGTTTCTGCAGCTCATACTGCACTGGATGATAGTGAATGTAGGAGAAAATTGACAATATAAAGGTAATAGCTGAACTTAATTCTCTTTTTCTGAATATATCTTTAGAGTATGCCCAGCTCAGAAGATAATTTCTAATCACCATTTGATGTGCTGGAAGGACACACAGTAGCTCAGCACTGAATGATCAGCAAGGGCAGGAGGAGGGCACATTCCAGCTCTGCAGAATGAGAAGAGCTCACAACACCATTCTGTCCTGCCTTGGCCATTTGTACCTGCCTGATAAAAGATTCCTTATTCACCGGGGCTGATAAGTTTATGTCAGCTTTCCAAACCAAGGATGCACTGCACTTGTATTTGTCAGGTGAATGGCAAACCCGGCTGGGTTTCGCATTCTGAGATAGGTTCTCTCTGAGCTGTGTAACTTCTCATGCATCTGTCTTGAAACTTCAGAATTAAAAGATATTTGAGGACTCCTCAAAGGCTCTGGTGCTTTGTTTTTTTAAGAACTTTTGTGTTATTGCAAAGATTCTCTTCCAGGTCCAAAGTCATACGGTGTTCTCCAAGAAATGGTCTTCTGAATCAATCAATCTAATTCCCAGCTGCCACAGTCTAACTGGGCAAGAAGTTTCACAACCTCTGTGTTAAAAGTGGAACCCAGTAGTTCCAATTGTTAAGAATCCTTTGATTTCTGTTCTCATTTTTTTCATAAACTCAGTTTTTCACGTCAGTCTTGGCCATTAAATTCCAGAGGTCATTCCTTTCCATGAGGAATTTGCATGAGTAAGACTGGAGAGCAGCCACCGTGGTCATGCATGATGATGTGGGATCTTCCTGGGATTACACATGGGCTCTGTGTTCACTAACTGTGGCATCCAAGATGTGCTGCAGAGAGGATGCAAGAAAGGAGCCTGTTATGTATCCAGACATGAGAGGATGGAAAAGAAGCTGCACGGTAAATATAAGATAGATTTCAGACTCTTTGAGGTAGGTGTGGAGCTCTGAATTCAGGCTAGGCTGTTGTGGCCTAGAGTCAAACTATTTTGGATTCCATTTGTCTCTAATTGCTTAATAATCTGAGACTGCCTCATCTTTACATGGCTGATCTCAAGCTTTCAAGTCCACATTTTCTACCCACTGAGCAGCTGTGCTGGTAGATGCCATGACATATGAAAAGAAGAAAATTTCAAACGTACCGGTCTGTATTCTTCCAAAGTAAATTATTTAAAAGATTTTTCTTTGAACTACACATCACACTGTCCATCACACCACCACAAGCAGTAAATACCAAGTCCTGGGTCAGGTCTGTTCACTGTCTTGAGGTGTGAGAAGGAATTTGTTGGACTGCAAGGTGCAAGAACAGCATGGCATGACTATGAAGAGAGAAGAGGCAGTGACATGCTGAGACTTACCTAGATCATGGGATCAAGAAACAAAAACGTTTTGCAATTGAGGTAATTACACCACATATGTTTCCAGATAGCAGGGATGGCACAGCAACAACCCTCTTGCTACAACACACCTGAACAAGATGAGCAATAAGGGGGGTTCTTTTGGCACCAAACCTGCCTGGAACAAAGAAGTCCCCTTGTACAGGGTCTGAGTTCCATGTTGGCATTTGTTGCAGTCTCTCTCACTAATACAGAATTGAGTAAGTGGGGGGAAGATCTTTTGGGAACATCTTGTGTTCATTAAGCTGTTATTGTGGGTAGAGTCAAACTGGTTTAGTAAGCAAGTAACTATTCATACAACATGTTGGCTTACCTTCTTGCATGGTCCACACATGTTCATGCCCATCTGGAGCCACAGTTGGGCTCCAAACCCAAGGGTGGTACTCACACACCACTGGTTTCTAAATAGGTGTTTGGAAAGGCTCTTGAGAACATGTTGTCTCATCAGATGTCTCTATAACTCATCATTTCCATATAGCAGCCACCACATACCTGGAACAGGTTGCCTAGAGATGTGGTTGGATGCCCCCTCCCTGAAGATACTCATGCTCAGGCTGGAGCAGGCTATGAGCGACGTGATCAGGCTGTAGATGTTCTTGATCATTGCAGGAGAATTGAACCAGTTGGCTTTTAAAGGTCCCTTGTAACTCATACAATTCTATGAGTCTATGATTCTATTCTTGGGTACTGTCCAAGTCGTACAGTCTCCTTGATGAAGTGTATGTGTGCTTGTGGTATGGTGCAGATTTGGCAGGCTCTGGTTGTCTCTGGGCAGCCTGGTCTGGTGCTGGTTGGTGACCCTGGACATAGCAAGGGGGTTGAAACTAGATGATCATTACGGTCCTTTTCAACCCAGGCCATTCTGTGATTATGAATTTACTAGTTCTTGCAAATTCAAGACAAGCACAAGTCTCTGAGCCCTTGGGAAACTTTCTCACATTACTTTGCCTGCATTCTTTCAGCACGTTGTCCTCTGGTAACTATTTCTCTCAACATGTGGAATGTACTCAGGCAAATTTGAAGAGGGCATTTGTAACACATTCAGGGCAAATGATGGGCTCCCAAAGGGAAAAAACTGTGAAGGTATTGGAAACCGTGCAAAGACCAAAGGAACCCCCTTCATCTTAGCAACATGCCTTGGAGTATGGTGGGGATGGTTTGGTGGTTGGACTTGATTATTTAGTGATCTTTTCCATTCTTAATCATTCTGTAATTCTGTGCACAAGTATATAGGGTGACATACCCTTCTGGCTTGAAGGAAGGATCCATCGTCAGTCTTGTACTTTCTGAGCAGACCACAGGTGTCATTTCCTGTTCTGTTCTTTGCACCAGTTCTTGCCTACAGTGGTTTTACAGTCCTCATGTAACCCTGCAAGACACAATGTTTTATGGACAATGCCTAGGGATGTTGTTTGTAATGCAGTGTGAAACACTATCAGCTCCACCAGCCCTTAGAAAGTAATTGTTATATGAATGTGGCCCTTTGGTGCTTAAAGAGACAAGGAAATACTCCTCCAGACCACAAAATGAAATATTTTCATGGGAGCTGTAAAAGTTCATGAGGGTTTCACAATTTCCCCTTTACAGCCTCGTAATCTTTACTGGGTTTTAATTATCATGCTGTTTTGAAGCCTGTGCCAGACATAGAAAGTAAAGTAAATTGCTCCTGTTCCTGCCATGGTTGTGTACCAGTCACCAGCTCGTCCTCTCCCAAGTACCTCCTCCCTCTTGGCAGCCTCTTGATTCAAGAGAATATAAAGGTGTCTGATCAACAGGTGCATATACAACTATATGGATGTGCACATGCACATTCCTGTGCATATATATTACTAAACATTTACAAAGGGGCCAGAGATATTATGGTGTGGGTCCCTTCAACCTCATAAGCTGCCATAGATGTGATGAGTGCAGCACTGAGAGACAGTACTACTGGAAAGGTTTCCTGAGCAGTCGTTCTACGAAGTCTCTCTTCTTGCCTTTTATTGGCTGCGCTTTTGTTTTATTAGCATGAGTCATAATTGCAAATTTCTTTTTCAATGTGGTACATGGCAATAAAGGGGAGGGCATTCAGACAGAGAGCAGGGGAGAGCTGCCAAGAGGAAATTAGCATTGCAGTAATGTCAGTCCTATTGCTCTTAGGCAACTGGGGAACTTTTTGTAGGGGGAAAGAGAGACGCTTTCCTGAGCTGGGCTATGGAGAAACCACACAAATGAGCAGTGGCTGCTTATATACTGATCCTTAGTCTTGGGGATTAATTCCCATAGCAAGAACACACTGTGCTGCCCAAGCCTCATTCATCGCTACAGACCTCAGCCCCAAAGCTGACTGTGCTCTCATTTCAGGAATTTATTACATAGGCTTCATTTTTTTTTTCCCCACTGCACTTTAAATACCCAGTGACCCATATCAATTATATCACAGCAGCAACTTCAGCCTTAGGCAAGGCTGGATGTCCACTGCTGCGTATGTGTGCATCGCAGGGTATGTTGTGCCCTGAAGAGTTTGTACTCAAAACAGCTGTGATGGATGATAAACTCAAAAGGAAGCTGAGATGCAGGGAAGTCAAATGATGCTCTTCAGGCCATAGTCCCTAGGGTATCAGCCCTGCTCTCATTGCTGGGCAAATCCGTCTTGTCTACCCAAGCTGTACGTGCCCTGCAGTTCACATTTTACCTTTTTTCTTCAAATGGGAAGCGTGCTCAGAAATGAGGCATTTTACTTTATTTTCTGTTCCTTCATTTGCTGATTGAAGCTAACAACTGAGCCAGGAAAAAAAAAAAAAAAAAAAAATAATGAGGTGGCTGCAGCCAGCATATAATCATTAAATTTGCTTTTGGGTGACCTGTCTGAAATTCATCAGGAGCGATTTATTGGGAAGTTCATTGCATCAGTGTTCATTATTTACTCTGTTAGGCTTAGGCACAGCGGCAATCAGTGGAGAAAATTGGACTGTTAGGGCCTCGGACTCCAGTGTTTGTTATTTCCTCTATGGAATTGCAGCATGAAATAGATTTGGCGCAGACAAATCACTCTGCTGCTACAATTCAGTGTGCACTTGGCTATCGCCATGGCTCTGAAAACTAGAGAGGCAAAAGCAGGCCTGGGGAAAAGGAAAGAGAAATAAGAAGCAGCCTGAATTGCACCCACTGGTGTTGAGGGCTTCCAAAGCTGTGCCCCATCATCACCATGAAAAGCTGCGCCTGCAAAGTTGGCTGAAGTTGGATCTCAGTGGCATGCACAGTGCCTGCTTTACACCTTGCTTCTCTCCCTGCTCAGGAGCACCTTGGCAGCATTTCGGGTTTCCCCTTTCCCCGTTCATCCAGCTGGGTCCTTTTATTGCCTAGTACTTAACAGTGAATCACCAAGAGAGTTTGCATGGGTTTTTTGTGACTGCAAAGTGCTATCGGAGTGCCAGGGCTCCCTATAAATCTGCTTTGCATGTGGCATGTATTTGGGAGCTGATTGTTTTTATAATTGAATTGTAAATCAATGTGTTTAAGGCCAGCGTTTGCAGTTAACACTTCTGAGTATTAAATGTTCCCTCTGTCGATACTGGGAAGGTTTTATTAGGATAATAACTGTGGATTGAAAGCTTAAATTTTGGATTTTTTTCACATGTTCAGTTCAGCGTTTGCTGTTCCAGAGCTGGGAGAACTTGGGGAACAATTCACACCGCAGCCACACAACATCTGAAAAGCAGCAACATAAGACTGGATGTCTAGGGAATATCTCCCACCCTTTTTTGCCACATCAGCCCCTTTGGGCACTAACAGGCCATCTGGCATCAGCAAATAAATGAGTTCTCCATCATTAGCAGAACTGGGGGCACTTCTCACCTATCTGAACTACTACTATCCCTACCTTGAGTTTTAAGCTTGTGAAGTTGAATGCAATGAGGGCTCTTTAAACATGTTTTTAGTACTGTGGCCACTTCAAAATGTTGATCTTCACTGGGCCAGGCTGGCCATGATGTGTGTTGCCCTTTGTCTTACCCTCATCTGTTCTTATTCCGTGGTTGAATATCAGTCTA